TAATCAAATTTCTCAGGTTCATAACCAAAGAATCTGTCCTAGGCATGGTAACAGAAAAAGAAAGCTTCGCTGGGACAATCCCTCATCTAAAATCACCATTTTTCAGAATTTTGCAAGGGAAGTTGTGGAGCAGAGGGCAGCTTTTGTCAGGTCTAGGGCACTGGTAAAACAAAAGGGCCTAAAGGGTTATATGAGGTTTCCTGCATTGTTTCATGTAATAGCTGGAAATGTGACCCGTTCATTCTGAAAACCTCAGGAGCCAGAGAGCTTCATAAATAACTTAGAAATGACTTTTGGTGTGTTTTGTTCCTGGTTACACCAAATGCTGGTGTTTTGTTTGCCTTGGCATTCTTGCAGGCCTAACTCACTCCCATTATATTGACAGCCCTCCACCTTTGCTCATAGCTGGATGTGGTGAAGTGGGACCTATATATATGCTGTGTGTTTTCTACAGGGCGTTTTGAATTATGACAATATAGCACAGACATGCATGGACTGTCCCACTGATTAATATGTAATACTATGTATGAATAGGTAATGTAACACCCTGCTAACTGTTAAATGTTGTGTCTGTGATTGATTTAATGAGTTGTCTGATGCTGAGGGAGTAGAAACATAAAACATGTTCCCCTCACCCCCCAACCCCACATTGGTGAACTACAGCAAATTCATTCTGAACCCTTTCTTAGCAAGCATCAGGTGGCTCGATGCAGGGAAGGCCAGCCTCTCTTAAGGTAGGCAGGCTGGAGTGAGTCAGGGGTATTTGCACATTGTTGAGAACCCTGAGAACGGAAGGTGGTCTCCTCTGATTTGGACTGTGCCATGCCATTGCTGGTGGATACCTGCTGCATGGACCTAGAGACTACAGTAAGGGAAGTTACCTACAATCATGCTAGCTTACCTCCTTATATTGCTGCATTACTGTAATGTAACCACCAAACATGTTTAGCAGGCAAACTATGTGTCTGGGGACACTGGTTTGGCTGCTTGCACTTAAGGTTGGGGTAACAGCTGGATTGTTTAGTGGTTGAAAATGGTTTGAAATATAGGGAATGGCAACTCCAACAGAAAATTACCACCACAAGGGAACTCTGACTTTACAAGAATCTGCTGCTTGTAATTAGACACAGTGTCCCTGATCCAAAACCCTTCTGAGCCTATGCGTCCTACACAATCTCAGAGACAACTATAACACCTTTGGGACACTTGCTAAGTTATGGACTTCAAATCTTCCCCTTTGTTGGGGATATTTCCCATGTGGGGTTGTTATTTACAACAATTTTTGGACCCCAGAGAGTAGTGACAGGTTACCTACACCTGTCCCTCCAGAGTATGAAAAGGGTTTAACTATGCATAGTTAGAGATGTTCTTTCAACATGCATTGCCAAGTACACAAATGTTCATACATTCCTGTAAATTATTTTGTTTTCCTTTTTGTTATATTCTATTTGGTTCTCGTGTGTGTCCCGTTGCCATTATCTTGCCCAACCCATCTTTCTTTCCCTTTCCTCTCTCCTGATCTTCATAGTCAGAAAAATTACATGACGGATTTACAGCAAGCCTCACTAGGTGGCTGCATCTAATGTTGATGCCTTCCCCCAAGTCTCCTGCACCTACCTTATTTGGTAGCAATCTGACAAGTGGCGAGCATCTGGCAAGGTAATCCAAAATCTGTGTCTCCACTCTCACGGGATTGCATGAGGGGAGCAGGGTGGGATGCAATAGAGCAAATGACACAAATATTCCATTCCCCTCATTTGTAAGATGACATATGAGAAAAATGTTGGTCATGAATTTCAATTTTATTTCCTGGAATGTAAAGAGACTCAACACTCCAATTAAAAGAAAACAAGTGTACTCATTATTAAAGAGAGCAAAGGCAGATGTAGTGCTTTTGCTGGAGACACACTTGACCACAGATAGGACTGTTAATGTAGAACATGACTGGGTAGAAGAAACAGTGTCTTGCTGCTTGTCATTCACATCTAGAGGGGTAGCCATACTCTTCTATAAAGCACTGGCAGTAACATTCTCTGAGTCAATTTCAGATAATCAGGGCAGATTTTTAATCCTGAAAGTAAACACAAATGTATCTGAACTAATCATTGTAATATGTATGGACCTAATGTTGATGATCCCAAAACCTTCATAGGCTTTACTAAATTACATGGAGAACCCGATTGGTCAGGTTCTTGCCTTCTTCCATGTTGTCCTTTACGCTTTGAACAACCTAAGGCAGTGTCTAACACCCCCTTCTCCATTCAAATCCCTCCTTAAAACTAATTTCTTCCACAAACCCCACCAATGCTAATTTGCATCAATGAGACTGTCACTCACCCAATCTCTGAAGGAAAACATAATTTAAAAGCAAATAAAGATATACTCCAAAATATCATCCTTTGAGTCATTCAATTCTTGTGCCGGTTCTATGATTTTTGTTTAGATGACAAACTCCTACCAGCAGGACCATGTCTTCCTTTTTGTCTTGTCATATCTAATAACAGTGCTAAGAATAAAGTGTGCCCAATAAAGAGGATTGAATTGTCCCTGGTCTTTGGATGGGTGTTGGAGTTGGAAGACTTGAGTATGGGAGCCTTCTTCCCTTGGTGCATCATTTCTTTGTACATGGTCCTGAAACAATCATAGTATCTGTGATGATCAGGGGAATCAGTTTAGCTACAACTTTCATAAAATTAACCAGAATTTGTAATTGCTGTATCATTGAATGCTTCAATGTGTAGTGAGGCAACTCTGGGCTGACAGGGTCCCTAACAGATATCACCCATCCTATCAAGAAGAAGCAATAGAACAAAAGAAGTCATTAACCTTAACATCTGGACTCTGGATGAACAATGGATATGCTAAAGAGAGTGTCTGAGCTGGAAAACCTGTTCAGTTAAGTTCATCTGGAAGGGGAGTGGAGAATGGAAAATCCCCAAGCAGGAGAAAAAAGTGACAGAGCAGGACTTTAAAAAGACTAATGAGGCTTGAGACATAAGAAAGGAACAAAGGGGTCCAGTTTTGTAGCAGAGGGGTCTTTTTCCTTCCAAAAGAAGCTGCACTGGCTAGAGGGGGTGGGAAGCGATAGCATAGTGAGTGAGAATGACTGACTCCATGATGCAAGGAGAAGCCATGTACAGGAAGGATGATCCTGGACATCCCAGAGAACTCTCTCCAAATCCCAAAGAATGTTCAACTGTGGTGAGGAAACTGTGGTAGAAAAACGCATACATCTGTTTTATTGTTTTGTCCCGACAAACTACTTTTCTCTTGTGCTATCTAAAGTAAAGAGCTATTGTGTTAGAAACCTTTCCAAAGTCTATGCGTTATGTGCTTCAATTATCATGTGCCTGGAGAGGTAAACTGTAAACCAAAGTATTCACAGGTTGGAGCTCTGGGAACAAATGTGCTTAAGCTACGGGGGTGTCTTGGGGGGAACAGCACTAGTCCTGAGCACCTAGGACAGCTGGACCTCAAAGTCCCTTTTCTAACAGAGAGGCCAAAGAAACCATGTTGCATCCTTCTCAGGCCAAGCGAAGCATAAAAAACACAAGGGTCCATAATGGTGGGACCCAAATAGAGCAGCCTAGTGAGTGTCCAGCAGGGGGAGCTTTACCAGAGCTGCAACAGTACTTACCTAAGAGGAGGGACTGCGTCTTATCACCAGCAGGTGAAAAAAATAACCCTGAAGGAGCAGGAAGAATTCACACCCCTTCCATACCATAGTGTTGCGCTGGTCAGTATCCCAGGTGGAGGAGACTGCACTATCTAAAAGGGATGATGCACTGGGGAGATTCCCAGTGTGTACTGAGGAACTAAAGAAAGAATTGTGTCTCCCTAATGTGGACAGTGACTGTCACCCTCTTTTAACAGAGGATAAAATGATCTGGAGTAACCAGTAAAAGAAAGTACCCATGTTCTAAATCTGGATTAAGATATAGAAATGTTACCTGTGTTTTATATGGACTAAATTTGGCCCTCAGTTACACCTGTGCAGATCCACTGGTCATTGGTGTAACCAGAGCAGAATTTGGCCCCATTTCTTTGTTTACAGTTTCTTGTCCAAATTCTGTTCTCTCTTAGACCAGTAAATCAACTGAATTACTCTGGATTTTTACTGCTGTAACTGACAGCAGAATTTGACAAAATATTCATTCATTCATAAAGACATGGTAGAACCAATTCAATTAATAATCAACTGGAGATACATAACTCCCATGCCAAAAATCATTATAATTAACCAAATCAGAATATATCAATTTCACTCCCTCAGCTTAATATTCTTTATTTGATTTGTGTGTGTGTGAAGTGGTTGTTCTTAATTAAAATAAACACACAGGATCTGATTCTGTTCTTACTTATTATACTTGTATACATCAGGAGTTACTCCACTGAAGTCGGTGCTATAATACCAGTACAAAAATGGGTTCTAATTAGAGCAGGAATCAGATTTTCAATGTATTTATACTGGGAGAAAGTGATAGTGTATAGATTAAAAGGCCACAAAAATTGAATAGGCTTTTATTAATACTTAGATCACCTAGTATAAAGGAACAAATTGCTAAGAACATTAGAAAACTTAAACATACTGAAAATATGCTATTACAATTATTTTACAAAACTATAAAACTTCTTAGCAGCTATCTATTGACCACTGGAAACATTCCATTGTTCTGATGTACAAATTAAGAGGATGCATACATCCATGTGTAACACGATGAAGTCTTTTCCTTAGTATCAAGAGTCCAGTAAATAATGATAATTGATTTGGTGTTCTACACACGGTGTGTAACATTAAATTAGTGTAAAGACATGTATTTATGAACTTCTGCTTTTTTCTTCATTCTAAAGTCTGTCTGTATAATGTATGTACATTAGATACGTTTTTCTTTTCTCTTTTGGTCCTGTTACACCTCGTTTTGCACTGGTATTACAAAACAATATAAACTCTTTACACTGGGGGGGGGGGGGAACCCCAAAAAACCAATCCCCCCCCCCCCCCCAAAAAAAGAACACAACATACTTTTCTGGATAGTTTTGGGAAGTGACCACCCAAGGACCCAGCAGAATCTCAGTTATGGTCTCTAATTTAATTGATAATGTCTCTAATTTAAACTTAATTCAGACTGTATTGGAAACTTTGGGAATATTTTAAATTGGTCATTTAGATCAGAGGGTTGTATGTGTGAGGGGCCCTTGTTGTAGGGTTCACTATGTGAAGAGACAAAGAAAAAAAATTAAGGCAGTTATTAACTTCAACAAGAGAAGGATTGTACATTTAGGTCCCATTCCTGCAAACACTGGCATATATGAATAGTCCCACTGTGCTGGTCATAGAGGTCCTAAATGCAAATAATTGATTTAACTTCACTTTAAAAACTAGGAAATAGAACATTCATGTATATATAGTACTGTAGCATTGTAAATGTCAATACTTACAGCAGCAAGATTTCTATAACTTAAAGAAATTGCCTAAATAATCAAATTCATTTTAACAGCTTTGTGTATTCCTATGAAATAGTTAACATTTCCTGAAGTAAGACAGAAGTGCAGGTGGCATTTCATAACTGGCAGCAAGTTCTCTTTTTCTTACTTTCATTTAGATCCACCACATCTAAGTCACACAATATGCAGGAATTCTGCAAAACAAATTAAAATGAACATGGCATTAAGACGAATGCAGCTGCACTATATTAACATAGATGCTTGAATATTCTTCTCCATGAGTGGACTCATAAGGCAGCCCATCATATATTTTAGCTTTATAAAACATTTTAGTGTGTCACTGAATATATTTCTAGCTCTGAAGAGTCAAATGAAAGGCTGGACATTTTAGGGAGTTTTCTAATAAATTGGATGAGTCTAGTGCCCATGGAAGTGACAGGCTGATAGGACATGCTCATACTATACTTGGCTCTAGCCCCTTTTCTGAGTCCTGAAAGATCCTAGGGGTGGGCATGTATGGTCTTCTGAGAAGACATCACAAGTCATGAGCTGATGCTGTAAATCTCTACTCACTGGAGTGGTACATACTTATGTAGGTAGTGCTACTGACTACTTGCATAAGTAGCGCTTTCCCTCATGAGCAATTTAGCTCTAGTGTCATCTACGACTTTAAATAAGCATCAGATTTTGCTATGACAAATGGTATGGTAGTTTTGTGATGTGCACAAATATCTGTACTCATTTTCACATTTAATCTAAAGTAGAAATGGATTTTATGCTCTAAAACCCCAATCTTCAGAGATCCTGTACAGTCTCTGAATTGACCTATTTTTTCCTAATTTACTGTACAGTAATAAGAAGTATTATAAACTCCCTCAGCTCTGAGAAATTGGATGTGTTTCATCTCATCCCTCTCATTGGTGGAAAGTCAGCTCAAAGGAAGGGTTCCAGCAGCACAAGGCACACACAACTCCTGCTGGGATGGAGGGGGGCTGTGCAGTTCCAGGCAGGGACGTGTCTGGGGTAGTCAGGGATGTGCCAATTCAGTGCATCCTCAGCTGCTAAGGAATCCAAACGATAACTTAAACTAGCAGAACCCCACAAGAGACAAGTAGTGTGAAACATGCCCGCCCTTCCTCAACGATAACTCTCTTGGAGAAACAAGGGCCTTTCTGGAGCCAGGGATAACAATTGCTCCTTTCTGTTCCAGCTGTGGTGACCTGAGCCCAGGATATCAAAGCTCCAAAACTCATATTTCAGTAAATGAAATGGACTTGTTTAGGGCCTGCTTTGCAGATGTGCTGAGCACCAACAAATCCAGTTGAAGTCAATGGGAGTTGCAGGTGTTCAGCATCCTTAAAAACAAAACAAAACAATCAGACCCTTTATTGTTATGAAGGAAGTTAACTTATCTTGGCATATACATTGTAGTTCAGTAGTTTTGCTAGCCAATTTTTTTTTAATCCAAGCAACTCCCAGCATTTAATTAACTCAGTCTTAATAGAAGTAAAACCATCAAAATAGCATTCTATAATAGTAAAACATTTATTTACTGATGTTAAGAGAAGATAATAATCCCAGCACAAGGTTTTGGCCTAAGGCCCTTCCTGTAAGTGATGAGATATATTGAATTGGGCAATTAATACTGACAAGAAAAACAATCAAAACCAGTTATGCAGTGTACTTGTAGCAAATATCTTAAGTCTCTGAGAGGTGGGACACTGAACCCCAGAATGAGGGGATAAAAACATTTTGTTATGCAGATAAAGAAAAAATGTTTCCAATTTCTCTTACTATTCTTTCCTTTTCTGCTTGGCTTGTTTACCAAGAAAGCAATGATACACAGAGACATGTATGCAGTCAAGAGGAGTCACCCACTTTCTCTCTGAATCCAGCAGCCAGTGGCTCTCAACTTTTCCAGACTACTGTTCCCCTTTCAGGAATCTGATGTGTCTTGTGTATCCCAAGTTTCACCTCACTTAAAAACTACTTGCTTACAAAATCAGACATAAAAATAAAGAAGTGTCACAGCACACTACTCCTGAAAAAGTGCTTGCTTTCTCATTTTTACTATATAATTATAAAATAAATCAATTGGAATATAAATATTGTATTAAATTTCAGTGTATAGTATATAGAACAGTATAAACAAGTAATTGTCCGTATGAAATTTTAGTTTGTACTGACTTTGCTAGTGCTTTTTATGTAGCCTGCTGTAAAACTAGACAAATATCTAGATGAGTTGATGTACCCCCCCTAGAAAACCTCTACGTACCCCTAGTTGAGAACCACTGCCAGCAGCAATACTTACATGTTTCTCACTACAGAGGCCAGCTGTTGAAAGGGATATCTCTTTACCTCTTTGAGGGAATAAGCGTCATGGAACTCAAAGCATGGACCTGGGCCAGAAAATGACTGAAAAATGTCCTGCAAACTGCAGAACAATTGATAGGCATGACTGGGAGACTATACAGAGTATGAACTTAGATTTCAAAGGGCATAAGAAATTAAATGTTGGATATTTGCCTTATGGTTTGGGGTTTTTTAAAGTTTCAGCTAAAATGGTTCAGCAGGGTGGGACAGGAGTTGGAATTAGCAGGATCTGAATATGGCAGCAGGGGAATGGGTTAGGAGTAGAAGTGGACAGGGAAAGGCTGGGGGAACAAGTGTTTATAACTACTAGAAAACACTCCCCTACAGAACCTGGAACTGAATCCATTATTTCTGAGTCTCAACATTCTATTCACAGTAAACAGATGTAAAACCCACAAGCAAAGTGTGTCTTCATCTTTTTCTGGGGCAGGTCCTCATAGAAGATAACAGCCTTCTACTGCTACCAGTTACTCAGTTAACTCAAGGGATAGCTGGTAGGACTGTGCCGTATGTAAGCATCCCAACCCTGCTGAAGACCAATACGCAGGGTCAATATGGATCCACATGATGGAAATTTTGTTTTTTCAATTTTTAAGTTTTTTAAAAAACATAGGAAATTACATAAAAACCCCAACATTAAAAGAATGTTAAGACTGCAAAGTCAAGCACACAATAATTAGGAAATACCAGAATGAAGGTTGTCTTTGCAACCTTTATTCAGCTCCCTTGTATGTATGCATTATGATGGTCTTTAGCTACATGATCACCAGGGATCCTAGTTTTCCATGATAAAAAGCCCAAAATGCTCTGATAACCCCCCCCCATAAAAATCCGTGTTTTTCCATGTTTAAAATGAAACACTGAATTTTAGTTTCCCTAGCCACTATATAGGTATTAGTTGAACACAATGTTTTATTGATATATCTACAATATTTAAGCAAGTTTGAAGCCCACCAGTGCCATCAATCATTATAATCAAATATAATCAATAGGACTGCAATTTGTATTTCTTACATATGCCAAATACTTTTATGTTGAGTGGTGGAGTTCGGCTGTCAGCCCTGGTTCAGTTAATGTGGAGACCCAGATAATGGGGGCTCAGATAAACAGGGTTCTACTGTTGTTGGGGTTTTTTTCCCCCCCCACAAAATGAAAAAATTAAGGATTCGCTGTAAAAACGAAAATTCCGCATTTTTCCATGGCCAACAGATTTCTAGGATCACATACTATTTTTTCCACAAGACCTTCGGCCACATTCAGTGTACAGGGCAGCGCTCGCTGAATGAGCACCAGTTGACTTTTCTTTTTATATTCAATCATGTAATGTGTGGACCCATGAATTGGATACTTCATACCATTCAAATCCTGTACTGGTTGCAGAATTATTAATTTCTTCATGGGCTTTTCTAGATGCTGTCATTGTAGTATCTGAGCTCTTTACAAACATAAATTCATTAATGCTCACAATACCACTCTGAGGAGATATTATTATCCCCATTTGACACATGGGGAACTGATGTACAATGATTAAAGCAAAAATGATCAAATTATCAACTGTCTGAAAACTTGAGAAGCCCAGGATCTGATTTTTCAGAGTACATGGCATTTAATAGCACTTTACGTATGTTCACAGCAGAGCCCCCAATGACCACATTTGCAGTTGTGAGGACACACTGCATATCTACAATCAGACCCCAGGTGGCTCAAGCTGTGTACCCAGAGGAACGCAGTGAGGAACACAAGATGCTCACCTGTGAAAAATGTTATGTGACTTGCCCAGCACCACATAGGAACTCTGTGACACAGCCAGAGATAGAATCCAGTTCTCCAGAATGGCATGCAACTGCCTTAACAACAAGACTCTCCTTTCTCTTCAGTTCCCTTTCCTCATTCACCACACACCATTCTTCTGCAACAAATGAGGCATGGGCCGTACAGACAACAGCCCCATTCACTATGCAACCCTGATTCACTCCCAGAGTACAGTCTGTCCTGTCCACAGAATGAGGAAATACTATATGCTCATGTAACTAAAAACTGTATCATAATGCATTGTTTTAATATATCTTTGGGCATTTAATTAAATATAGTACAGATTAAATTAATTGAATACATAATCTTTCAGGTTTCATTATCTAAAACATCCCTAATCAATATAAAAGAAACCATTATGAAATGGTTATAATATGTTCATATAGTGGTATCTCTTCATCCAAATGGTATCCAATCATTAGGCTTTATATGTTACTCTCACCTTCAGTAGAGGAAAACCCTGGATGGAAACATTGTGCTCGGTTTTGATAGTTCTTTTGCTCAGTAAATACATGTTTATTAAATACAGAAACTTGTTTTGATGATTAATTGTATTTTTGGGGAGTGAAGAACATTGTTTTTTATGGTTTTGTTGTATTCTACAGAGAATGGCAATTGCTCCTGGTATTTATTTTGCTGATTTGGGGGGAAGGGGAGTTTAAGCATAGTTTCTTTCCTCCTCCGTCCCAGTTAATATGATGTCATAACCAAGAATCCACAAAGACCAGACTTAAGTACAGAGACTATAATATTCTTGTCAAAAGCTATTAGGGAAGACGACTGATCTTCAGCCATTAAACTGAGCAACATATGACAGTATGCATAAATCTAAATGCTAACTGTATTTTTTTCTGTTTTTGTTTAAAGTGTGACTCATGATTGCAGGATGGGTCATTTGGTAACCATGAGCAATGTTATTAAACAGCTGTCATCTCCTAATGAGCAGGTTTAGGCAAATCTGAATCCAGACTCTTAAGAATTCTGAATAAATAAAATACTGTTATTTGTAAACATCCTCTGCAAACTTTCAGAATAACTGATAAGCGCAAATACAAATGTCAGAAACATTAATTCACACTAAAGATTTTTTTCAATAATATAAAGTCATTTAATAATAGCTGTTTGAATTGGACAAAAAACATGTATTAGTTATTCTCAAAATTATGGCCTGCCTCTGTTACTCAGGTGAGTAGTTGTAATGAGTTCAGGTGATCAGTTAACTTTAATGAGACAATTCATGTGAGAGCTGCAAGATTGAGTCCTTACTGTAAAATGATTTTCGCAACTTGCACACAATTTAAAAGTCTATATAATGTTGTTTTAACTATCTGATAACATTGAGCACAAAAAATATGCCTCAAGCAGGAAAGATGTAGCAGACTCTGACATAGGGTAACTTGCTGCCATGGTTTAAAGTATGAGGCCCACTCTTTTATATTAGCAAGTGTAGTGAGAATAATTTTGAAAAACAAATGTATAATGTGTTTTAACACATTTCAATGTTTCCTCCAACCTGAGAGTCCTTCAAACCACAAACTGCTCTAATTTTACAGAGTTCCAGGAAGCCCTGAATCTGTGCACAAATTATAGGTCCCCAGCATTCCGGTTGCAGGAAGAGAGTATATAGTTAGTTAATAACTATATATGCCAGCAGATGGAGCTCAAGAATATTTAGCAAAAATCCTGGGTTTTGTAGGACCAATAAAAGTTGTTGCTGTGAACCTGCAAATATATTTCTCTCTGCAGCTTTTTACATGAGCTCTTAACATAACTCACCTGCTTCCTGGCAACCTGGCCCTAATGGCTTCCCCAGGGAACTCCTTAAAGGAGATTTCCTCTGTGGGATTGGTGTGAGATAATATGCTTTCCCTGGCCTATCTATATCCAGCAGGGCTGCATCTAGTCTTCACCCCCTTCTCCTGGGTGGATCCTGGGATAGGAGGATCAATGCCATAGAGGCAAACTGGCCAAAGGGAAGGGAACGCAGAGACCTGTGCCTCGAGGAACGATTTTGGACCAGAACATTGTGTGGGGCTTTACCTTATTTTATGATGGGTAAATAAATGTTTTATTTATTGTAAAACAGATGTACCGCTGTCCCTGCTGCGTGGATTATAGCACGGCATCATTTTACACAGTTGCTGGTCACATTGCTGACTACATTCATTTCTCCAACATAGAGTTAGGGAGGTTAAAATTCAAGCAGTAGATCCAGGTTTCACTGTTTTGTGAACAAGCAAATTATTTTGTTGTACCTGAAAATTTTGGTGAAACCAGAAGGAAGTTATTGTAAACTCTGCCTTACCAGTCCAATGGGAAAACTAAATAAAACTGAGGTGAGGAAGAACCTTATTTGAATCAACAAAACAAATTTTCAAATATTCACCTCAGTTTCCCTACCCTTTTCCATGCTGGATTTGTGCTTCTTTTAAAGCTAATGATTAGTTTAGCTAATGTATGTGTTTGTTTTGCAGCACAGACAAGAGTCCTGGATTAATCTGACTGAGACTATCAAAATCATTTCACTTATAACCAAAGATGCATTTGAATAAAGGTTTCTAGAATTAAAAAACTGTTCCCCTTAATCCTCAATATGATTAGTATTGATACATAAATTTGCTAGTGAGTCTTCACAACTGTTATTGCTTACCTGTAATTTGAACTTCAGATGTCTCAGCAACAGCAAACATGTCATTACATTAAAACAACAATATCCTTTTGTGTTTCAAGTACATGCAGTAAATTCCTTGGTTACAAAAGAAATTAAAGTAAACCTATTTGAGACACTCTGCCAAATCTTAAGAGGCCTACTGTTAGTGCTTCTGATGTGAATGATTTTTTTGACAGTAATAAGGTTATTGAGCGCATTTTCATAATAATGGACATCAGTCCACCTAAATATTTTTTTCTGAGAAATAACCAAGCTTAGTACTGTTGTATGATAGTATTGGTCCTTGATTCAGAAGCAGTCTGACTCTGAGCTGATTAGTTTCACCACTATTGTGATAATTAGGTCTATGATTTTACCCTACTTGTGAGCGCAACTGTAAAAAGTGAATGAAAGTTCATGGAATGTCATAATAATCTACAACAACAAATGCTGACTGAAAAAGGTGCAAAAGTAAGACAGAAAGACTGAGGTAGTACAAACAAAAAGTCCTACTGGTAATTCAAGGACTGTATTAAGATTGTGACTGGTAAACAGAAGGAGAATGGAAATAAATGAACTAAAATTGGTGTTTCAGAAATTAGACCTAATTGGTAGACAAAATAATGAACAGATGGGCTATTCCATCTATCACTCACTTTCGGGAGCCTTAAAAAAAAAAAAAGAGACTTTGGGAGGAACTCTGGCTACTGCAGCAAACTTCACCATCGTGGCTGCCACCCCCGCCATCTCCTGGGACCCCAGGCCTTTGTCATCCTGATCCCAAGAAATGTTCTGTCCAGACTGGGCCAGAGAAAGGGACACAGATGATTTTTCCATCTCTACTCGCTGCAGCTGAATCCCACGCACCACCTGGGATGTGAGCTTTTCTCTCTTTCTTCTCCCACCCCCACAACATGTGTCCCTTTCCTTCCCCACCTGATTTCTTTTCTTTCCAAGTTCTCTCCTTTTGCCTTCTGTTTAATAAGAGTCTGGCTTAGCCAGCCAAAACTGCATATTCTGGTACACTATGTATTTCCAGCAGTAAGGTTGCAAGTATCCAGAGACAGAACTGCCATTTTTTTATCTTTGCTGTTCTTTTCTCTCTCCTTTTGTGTGTTTGTCTTGTTTTGTCTTCTAGAAATGAGACTTTAAAAGCAGCAGCAGCAACAGTTCCAGCCCATCTCTACTAACTTCTCTTTTCCCCAAAGGATAATTATTACCATCTTTAATATCACCCAAGAGACTGTCCAACAATTCTTTCCAGCTAAAGGGAAAGGGAACAAGGGATGTTGTTAAAATGAAAGCCTTATTTACTACTTTACATTTCAAATACTTTAAATGTTTTTCCCTCTTTTCTGTATTTTTAATAAACGGTTGAAAGGATTTTTAATGCTGTTTACACCATGGTACTAAGCAGGCTGAGGTCTCTGTATATCAATCCTCAAACCTTTTTGAAACTGAGTAATGTTGGACATTGACTGGGTTATGTTAACACCTTTGAATCTTTAGGCCCATATAGTCCACCTGAATTAATAGACCACCACCCTGTATGGCCATTTAATCAAAACACTGGAATTTTCAACTTTGTCAGAAATTTTGTTCATTTATCTTCATTATGACTTCAAGACTATTCTGAACTGAAGGCTAGTTTTGTATAAGTAATGTTGGTGATGAATGACAATAATAATACATTTAAGAAGAATATCCATTAATATCTAAAGCAATATTCTGCTATCTAAAAATAAACCCCTTGATGGAAAATATTGTTTTAGCTAATTAATAATTCAGTGTTTTGTAATTATTGCTCTAGACACTCAGACTCCATCATGCAGTAGTAAGTACCTTTACACTGCCACACCCTTCAGGCTGAGACTGATTCTGACAGCAGCAATCCATTGCTAATTAACTCAGAAATCCTTTAAGTCCTAGCAATTTCAAAAGAGGAGTTCATTTTCCTCTTTACTTAGCAATACCAATGTAAATAATTTGCACATGTGTGTTATAAATTGTGGATCAGACATTTGCTAATTGAAAATAAAGTGCTTACTCCTTCCACAGCTTCTATACCCCCTAGCCCAAGTCACAGAGTGGCAGTGGAACCACTCTGTGGCTGCTGTACCTTCCCCTGTGGAGAAGTGCCTGTGGCTGGTGAATCCGCAAAGCTGCACATCCACCAGCCCCACCTCTTCCCCAAGCCCAAAACTTTTGTGTGCTAGAGTACAAGGCACATCCACAGAGCACAGCTCCATGGTACACAGGTGGCCTATATTCCCCTGTAGAGAGGCTCACCAAACTGGTTCTGCTGTGTTAAACGTCTTCCGCAGCACTTACTCTGTCCACAGGATTTGTCCCAAACAAGTTTTATTGCATTGCCTCCTCCCCCCAAAAAGGAACCTACCTTGTCCAATATTTCCTTGACCAATACTGAAAAGGCATCTTCAATATTTATGTTATTTGTAGCACTGGTTTCAAAAAAAGGTATACCATATTCCCATGCAAGCTGAAAAACAAATAAAGGCAAGAGAATGACATATATCCATATGTACAATACTATTATAAAAACAAAATATTTGATAAAGCAACTTTTCAATACGGGTAAACTTAGACTAATAATAAATGATAAATTAATGGAGATATCCTATCTCCTAGAACTGGAAGGAGCCTTGAAAGGTCATCGAGTCCAGCCCACTGCCTTCACTAGCAGGACCAAGTACTGTTTTTGCCCCTGTTTTTGACTGAATTAATAATAAATAATAAAGCATATATTCATAAATTTAGTGAATGCGATTTCATAGAATAATTTCATATGCATCCTCAAGTTACTAATTTCAGGAACTCTTAAAACATTCTCATACATTTTGCACGTGCAGTGATGCTTTTTCTGACATGTGTCTTCATACATAAATTAAAAGATAAAAGGGTAATGGGCCTCTTCTAATTGTTCATTGAATGGAGAATGGATCGTATACAACAAGTGTATTTGAATTAAACTTTTTAAAATATAGAGATGGAAGATTTGGACTGCAAAATGTATAGTTTCAAATCTGGCAAAAATCTATAGATATGAAAATGAGGATGCAAAAATGAACCCAGTTCTAGATTATAGAAATAAATGATCAAATATAAACACAGACACTACAGTCTAAATGGTAATACAATACAGAAAAGGATAACATTGAGGTTAATGGATAATATGTTTATGTCTTGTGGAATTTTTTTAAAATTATTTTTGTCTGTATTTGCAGCATAGGGATATGTGGCCTGATCTAAATCCCACCAGATCAGACCCACGGAGCATAAATTGAACAGAGCTGGATTATATGAAGCACCTGAACTTCGTATATCCCTAATTTTGGGGATCCAGTTAGTGTATTGCATAATCTCAGTTTTCTCCCATTTTTAAGATTAATTTTGTAATTAATTTTCATAAAATAAAATCAATAAAAATACAAAAAGGTAAATGACTTACAGCTTTTATGTTAACAAATATAGCACATTTCACAGGCTATTCAATACAATTTTACAATTATGCAACTTTACAACTTGTCAAAGCTATAAGACCAGACAATACACAATCAGACAATATTACACAGGCATAACATGTTAGGGTGGAGGTAACAATAATAATAAAAAAAAGATACAAATAGGAAAAAGGGAAGCTGGGTATGGAGGAAGTGGCAGTTATTGAGAGGGAAAAAGTGGAGAGGTCAGGTGGAATGGAAGTCTGGAATTATTTGAGCTATCTCAACATTCTTTATCCAAATGTATCAAGAAATGGGGTCCAAATTTCTTCAAATTCATATAACTGCTCTCTACATCGAAAACCTATTCTTTCTTTTGCTGCTAACTCAGACAGGTCTGAATATCACTGCTCTATTCTGGGCATAACCCTACTCCTCCATTTTTTAAAATTCATGCACTTGGTAATTATTGTGGCCCTCAAGAACCAAAGTCTTTGTGGTGGAGTTAAACCCAGAGCAGTAGGTACATAACCTAGGAAATAATTTTCAGCTCAGGTTTAATTGCTGAGGCCAAGCCCTATTCTCACTCATGTGCATACCTTTTTCCATAGCTGCCTGACTGATGGACAGTCCCATAGAATATGCATCAGGTTTCCTCCTTCTTTATTACAGCGCCAACAAACATTAAAGGACAAGGCCTCCACAACTTGCACAACTTCTGTGACTCCCAAAACATTCTGAATAGAATCTTTTGCTGTATCAGGCATGGCCTGAAATCCAGAGGAGCATTTTTAAGAGTCCATAATATACGCTGCCAGTGGTGGTCTTTTAAGGGCTGTGATATATCCCCTACCCATGCTTTTACAAAGAACTCCAGACCAATGGAGTTCCTTTTCGTTAGTAAAGCATACATAATGGACATGGGACTGGGGAGTTTATGAAGAATTTCTAAGCTCCCCAGTAGCTCTGGGGCCTCTGGCAGTCACAGGGGGTCTGGATCAAATTGGTATGTTAACAATGTTTTACCTGTAAGTACTGCCACTCTGCTAAGATATTGTTGCTTTAGTGTTAGAAAAGAGACAAAGTCCTCATCCTTGACTAATTGGGAAATCTATATGATGCCCTTGCTCAGCCAGTTCTTCCAAATTACCCTTTTTTTAATCCAATTTTCAAGTCTTTGTTGCCCCAGATAGGTGTTTTTGCATGATGGTGAGGCGGAAATTGGTATCTCTTAACTAGGATATCACAGATCCTTTACACAGCCAACGCTATAGGCACCTTATTTTTCTCCATTGAAAAAAAAGAAGAACCAAGCAGACCAGCAGGAGGAGCTGGATGCATCAATACCTATTCATTTTCCACCCATGTCGGCATATGGGTGTTGGCATGCTAGAACCAATTTGATATCTGTGATGTGACAAAAATATAATATTAATTTTGTGGGTCTGGAAGCCCAACACCCCCACTTGGCTTAGGGAGCTGGAGTTTTTCAAGTGATTGTAGCTTTCTTTTTTTTAAAACACAAGCTTTTAGCATTTTCCATCAGGGAGCAACCCTTCAACATATAAACCAGTTACAGAACCATAGTTTTTCTTTAAAATCATCAACTATTTACAGTCCTCTTCTATAACCATGCTCCTAAATTTTAGGATACAAGCGCTAGGGTCCCTGCAGGCTCCCATCCATTCCCATCACCTGCAGCAAAGCCAGTGCCTACTTCAAGTTGCCAGGGCAGCCTCTCCCCAAAGGGAGGTGTAGCTCATAGAAGAAGAAGAGCTGCAGACAGTTGGTCCATGGAGGGCAGAAGAAGAGAGAATCTAACTTCCTTCCACCTCAACAGCAGGAAGTCCTTTAGGGAGAGAAGAAATAAAATGTAATAAAGAGGAAAGGGTTGTAGGTCCTCAAACTAGAAGCAAAAGCCCTACTTGGAGGTAGGAAAAGGATGAAACCATGAAGGGGAGAGGGAGAAAGGAACCATTATGGGGAAGAGTTTCAGAGGGATGAGAAAAAGATGTGAAGAACCATGGTGGGACAACAGAATACAAAAAGACATAAGAAGGGGCATAAAGGGACAGAGAGACATTTTAACATTGGAGAGAGAAAGATGGCGAGTGTCAGAGTGTAGCAGCCCCTGCTGGCCAAGCATGGCGCTACAGGCACTCCCAGCCTCAGTTTCCTAACCCAGAGATGAGTCTCCCCAGCTCTCTGCACACCAGTCAATACTGTGATGTGGCTCAGCCCTCCAGTCAGGTCACAAACAACCTTAAACCCTTCCAGGAAAAAAGTCCCAACAAACAAAAATGTCATTCTGCCCTTCCGGGGCTTCTCCTCAGCCCATCCTATGAGCCCTGTTCCCAGCCTCTGGGCTTTCTGGCTCTGGTATAGAGCACACAGTCCCCAGGCTGGCTCCCTTGGAGTAATATTCTTAGCTCATGCTGGGCTCTATTTCTTGCATCCTTCCTTGCTCTGGTACAGAGCACTTTGTTTCCCTGGAATACCCAGCCTCCTGCAGACCCTGGCTCAGGAACTTCCACAGGAATCTGCCCACTCCCCATGGCTCCACACCCCACATATCTCTCTCAGTCTTCTTATGAGGCCTTGGTGTCTGTTAAACTATTACCTTACCCCCTAGTTCCACCCTCTCAGGCTGGGAAGTAGCTAATTAATTATGCCTAGGGTGAGGCTGGCCCCACTCCTCTTCAAGGGGCCAGTCACCTTGTGGCAGTGAGTAATAGAGAATGGGACAAGTAGGAACGAGATAAGACAAAATAAGAGGAAAGGAGATGCTCCTTTCCATGGAGAGAAAAGGTACAGATAATATGAGACTACATAGCAAACATTTATGTGGAAAAAGTGGTATGGAGATAGATGGAATGAGTTGGAAATGTGAGAAAAGAAAAATAAATGGTTAAAAAAAATAAAAGAAGGAAAAGGCAGCGCAGTTTTTAGGTTACTGAATTTTATTTAACTTATTTATGCTCCTTCGTTTCAGTGTGTTTCTCTGACACATGTCCTCTATCACTGTTAGTGTGGGGAAAAGACAGAATTCACAGCTATTTTGAGGACCCAGGCTTGCTGGTTATGCTGGTTTATACAGTTGGAAATTTGGAGAAGACGACAAAAGGCTGGATCATTTCCTTCCACTGGAGGGAGCCACTGGGGGATTGGAGTGGAATCTCTGCAAGGACAGAGCAGTCAAAGAGTTTATCCCCTCTCTCTTCCATGCAGTAAAGGGAGGTCCATATGCAGACTTCCCTTCTATGCATGGAACTGAGGGACAGGATCCCACTCACAGAGAACAATGAAGTTTACAGTGTACACAAAATCCTGTGAGGCTCAGAGTATGCCTACACCGCAATTAAAAACCTGTGGCTGACCCGTGCCAGCTGACTTGGGCTCCTGGGGCTCAGGCTAAGGGGCTGTTTTACCGTGGTGTAGACGTTCGGGCTCAAATTGGACACTGGGCTCTAGGATCCTGCAAAGTGGGAGGGTCCCAGAGCTTGGGCTGCAGCCTGAGCCTCAACGTCTACACCACAATTAAGCAGCCGCTTAGCCCGAGCCCCCCCAAATCAGCTGGCACGGGCCAGCCACAGGTGTCTAATTGCAGTGTAGACATATCTTTAGTAGCTCCCAGATCTCAAGCTCATTTGGAAGCTTCTCCGTTGGAAAAAAACTTGTCAACTGTTGGCAATTATGTATGCTTTTCCACCAGTTCTAGTTACAACTCAGATTACATTCCTTTTAAAAATAAACAAGCAAAATAAATTATGTTTTGGGGTGCAGGAAGCAAAAATGCTAATCTGCTCTCCCTGCCCCCAAAATTCAAAAGTCAGGCTCGAAAATGCCAGAAAGCATTAGGCAAAATTGCTGTATGTTGTGCTTGGATTGGTGTAAAAAGTTATGGTCAATGTGTTATAAGGATATTGAAGACAATAAAAAAACAACAATTTAGAGCAGTGGTTCTCAACCTTTTCAGACTATTGTACCCCTTTCAAGAGTCTGATTTGTCTTGCGTATCCCAAGTTTCATCTCACTTAAA